CAGTAACCCTAGGTGTAAAAAGAGAAACAGAACTAAAGGTGTACAGGAAACTAGTCTAGTACACAAATGTGAAGTGCAGATTTAAAAATCTTAAGAATACATCAAGAAAAGCAATTTTCTTGTATTACTATGGAACTGGTAGAATTTACACCAGATATGAATTCATCATGGTGATGATTTACAGGATAAAAGATTACAGCAACTATACTTCACACTGTAACTGCAACACATGATTTAAGGCCAAGACCCTGAGCTTTAACAAATGGGTTCTCTAAGCCAAAACAACCAACTTCAACATTATACTATCATTAACATTTTGGTATTGCCACGTGGCAATCTGGTACCTTCACTGAAGGGAACAAATTTAGGGATAACTTTGGTAGCTTGTATGTGGACTTTTTACTTCTCAAAATATACAAATTTTGATATGTAAGTGTGTGTATACATACGTATATATGTATATGCACACATATTAGAATCCTTGCGAAAAACCTTAGGAAGGTGATTATATAACATAAACAGAAAACTGAAGTGTCAGTCCTAAAACACATTTTACTGGTAAATACACCAAAGTGCCCAGCTTGTATTTGTTCAGGGGGAAAAATGTTTTGTTTTTGTTAATGGATCCTTTAGCTCAAAAACCAAAACCAGCCCAGGCTAGTCTAGATTTAAAGTCATGTTATTTGATGCAGCCTTTTATGAAAGTTCAAAAGGTAAAAGAAACTTCATCCTGACTAAACTCTGAAGGGGATTTAAAAATCAGACTTTATACACTATTGGCTTAATACTGGCAGTTAAGAAGAGAGTTTTATCATCATTACCAATGAACACTAGACTAAAAATATCTAATTTTCTCATAATTAATAGTTTTAAGATGGATGTTTGACAAAACCTGGATTTCACGCCTTAAATACGATGATAAAGCAGCCTGCTCACTGCAACAACCTGCTTGTCTCTGCCAAGGAGAAACAGTGAACGGGGAAGGCGCTGTCCCACATTTAGGCATTCAATTAACCCTTCATTAGAAGGGTCCTGCTTTTGATGAGCACATGTCAGCCCTCGGATTCAAGAAGGCAGCATTTTATACTGAACTATTTATTTGCAGAGCCAAATTAGCTTGATAGACAGGTTTGTGTCTGGAAAAGAAGCTATGGGATCTTCCATGATGAAAAATTTCCTAGCCTAAAAAATTCTCTCTCCTGAGACCTTGCAATAACGTTTTATTTAACGATCACCATGTTGAAGCCATTTCCATTCATTTATACCAAATCAGAGTCACCAAGCCCCTAACTCCAGAGAGCCGTGGAACACCTGCCCCTTCCTGCCCAGTGCTGTGGCGAGCACAATGGAAATGAGCTCCTCCCTTGCCTCTACTGGGTAGCAGCCGGGACTGTGGGGTTCCGGGCCTCTTGGTCTAGCAGAAGCTTTAGGTGAAGAGATGACTTCCCCCTGGATACTGAGATGCTGATCTCCACACAGAGAGGTCCACAAGCTACCGCTTTCAATCTACAAAGGTCTTCGGGTTCAGAACGCTGGTTAAACAAAGGTCAAGGAGAGAAGAGTGTTAGTTTCTGAGGAGGCAACATCCTAATGCTAGTAGTTCCCTAAACGGAGGGGAAACAGAGTTGAGGCAAGGGCTGCAGGATATTAGTGGGACATCCTGAGCAATTATATATGATGTGTTGCCACAATCTTACTGTGGCCTGGGGACACCCAATCTATCTAAAGCTTACCTACATTGTGTCAAATTTAGAGAATGTTGGGTGATCTTACTTTGAAAGGAATTAGATCTTCCAATGCAGGGCCTGGCAAACTTCTTCTATAAAGAGCCAGAGAGTAAATATTTTAAGCTTTGCAGGCATATGGTCTCTGCCATGATCACTAATCTCTGCGAGTAACATGGAAACAGCCACAGACAAAACCGGTAGCGAATGGGGATGGTTGTGTTCTAATGAAATTTTACGTACAAAACCAGGCAGCACATCAGATTTAGCTCATGAGCCATAGTTTGCCAACCCCCAGTCTAGGCAGCTAAATCCAGTCAACAGTCACACCTGGCTACAACCTGCAAGTGTAAAAGCACAGATTTCATAAAATCATAACGCTTTATTCTGATAGTTCCTCAGAAACCTTTCTTCCAGAATCACCCTGATCTTTTTGAGTTGAATTAACAAAGAGTCCCTCCAATTGCCTTAGTAAAAGCAAATATCAAAAATTCAAATTATGAATCTCTATCACTTACAGCTGGGTGGGGATGGGACAAGACGAAATCTGCTTAGAGGGCACTTCAGAGGGGGAGAGTGTCCTAGTACAAGCCAACGTTCCCCGCGGAGAGGCGGCCCTCCTGCCCGGTGATCGCCCCTTTCCACACGACACAGTGCCTCAACAACGGCAACTCCAACAAAGCAGTGCCTTGTGGGGAATTTTTTAAAAACCACTGGAAACACCAGATTTGTAAATCATCCTTTGTAAAGAAAATTAGGTGACCTATGTTTTCAGTCATACAGACACCACTGTCAAAAGAAACACTGGCATGTTTTGTTCCAGCTCACAGTGCCTTGGAGGACAGACATTCACAAGGCTGAAGACTGGACAGCTCATACACAGAAAACAGGCTTCCCTGAGGGGCGAAAGGAAGTGAACAGCAACGCCACTGAAGCTTTGATGGAAAATGACTCCCGAATGCCCGAAGTCTTGAAAATGAGGACACCCAATTCACTCTGCATTCAGCTATTTGATTTGAAATGGGTAGAAGTAAAGTGGTGATAGCAATTTATAAATCCGCATATTTCACAGTACAGTAGAAGGAAGAACTTTATCTAGAAGCCACAGCCTACTTGGGCAAGGACACTTTCTAAGGCAGCCACGCAGGATATAAAAGCTAACTCAGTCACGATGAAAAGCCATGCGCCTATCTTCAGCCCCTTTTCTTTAAGCCTGATACCACCACTGCAGCAGACTGAGTTATTTGTTATGATTTGATTGCCTGGAATGCTCGGTACGATATTATTTCAAAAATTAAGAATACAAATCTTCAGCACTCACCTAGATGTATGCTTCTCAAGAGTGGGGGGGGGGTGGAAATGGGGTGAGGTGACAAGTGCTAAAGGCAATTTCTGAGGGAAGGTTGGAGCTGCGGAAACGGCAGGGGGTGTCTGAACAGAAAGCGCTGGTTTCCCTAAGACCTTTCCCAACACCATTTCATCCTAAGCTTCACAACTTGCCACCCTAACTCTCTGGACCACAGACACCTACTTGCAGTGTCCACAAAATGTATTATGGACATGAAGAAGGGAAAGTCTTCGAGGGGTTGTGGGAGCTGTGAAGAGGCACAGAGCGCGGGCTTTCCTCAAAAGAGGTGCGAGGCCCTTTCCGACCAACAACGCATTTATCCTCCATGCTTCAGCATCTCTTCCTCCCTGATCATGATTAAACATACAGCTGAACAGAGCTCTCCACGTGAGCCAATTCTACTGGTCCAAGATTACAATGGCATAAGCTGACGTTGCAAACCCTGACAGAGCTACAGCCACATCCTAAGGTCTGCTACCTAATCTCAGACAGAGCAAAGAGTAAACACAGAAAATCAGCAGTAATCACATATCTAAGAAAAAAACAGTCTAGCCAGAAGACCAAGGGAATGAAATATTTCAGTCAATTTTCTGGTTAACTAAGTGTTAAATAAAAAGAGACATTTTACTTAAATCTTTAAGTCTCTATTTTTTCTTAATTATCTACACTGTATTGATTGGTCAACACCCTCCTATAACAGTAGTCAATGCAACAAACACAACATATTTTTTCTTGGATGACTGAGGATCCAGTCATTATTTTTAATAAAGCGTCATCAGTTTTGATTATCAAAGATGACTACATAAAATTCATCCAAAAAACAAATTCAGAAAATTGGGCTGACCATATTCTAAACCCAAGTTGAAGTCTGAGAGTTGATTTTAAATAAACCTCTTTCAATTAAAGGAAAAAAAAAAGGGCAGCACAACTCCATTTTTTGCTTCTTTGCCTTCATACAGCCTGCACAATAACTCATCCTCTAGTGCATATTCTCACCTCTTGTGCTTGAGCTGATGATGCCAGGGAATGTTTATGGAGGTTTGAGAAGGGGTCACAGAAAATGAAGACAGAACAGAGAGAGTACAGGACATGCACAAAGGGGTATGAAAGAGAAGGCCAACAAGGGAGGGGCACTGGGGGCTGGGAGTGGTCAAAGGACAGAGAGAACTTGCCAGAAGACAGCTGAATGCAATCCCATTTCTCGTCTCTATAAATTAGGATGCATACCCTTATTCAAAACAGTTGGTTCTTACAGATTCAGATATTGATATAAATGGACCAAATCAAAGTAAGGGTAAAATCCTACGGAGAGTTACTGCACAAGCATCTGCTTTGCCACTATTGCTTTAACAAGCCCTGATGCTAAGGGAAGAGCACCCCCTTGAGCCACCTACCTCATGATGGTCACGGTGGTTAGTCACTAGCAATTAAGAGGATTAACTTAGAGGTTAAGACAAGGACTAATTTTCCAACATAAAAAGAAATAAGATCCTGTACCCAAAGGAAAATGATATTCTCAGTGACCAGCTGAAACCTGCAGTATCCTTTGTTCCAAAATCATGATATGTTGTTGTTCCCAATATTCCATTACCAATCAATTTCGGTTTGAATAACCTAAGAATTGGAATGTGTCCATACACCACAGAGACCAGGTCTGAAACTCAGATGGAAGATTGTTGTCTCTAATCCTCAAATACCAAAATAGCCATGGTCTTTTGCTGAGTTTTCAGCTTTTAGAGAATTCAAGGTCAGCCCCTACGTAGCCTTTCATGGTAACATTGGGATTTTAGAAGACAGCAGGATTTTAACTAAACGATAGCTGAAAAGGCTATAAATACAGTTTTCAATTCAAGAATTGCTATATAAGATTTCATCATAGCAGTAATAACAACAACAACAACAACAACAACTGTAAGTTAATGGCCTACCTATTCCTGAATTAGCTCCAGTAACGACGACCACTTTGCCTGTGAAATCCCGGCCCTGGAGTATTTCCATGGCTGTGGTGCTACCATCATATCTCTGTCTGTTGGTTGGCTTTGTAGGATTATCATCCACGGTAAATGCCAATCTTGGGTCCAAATAGGTAGTTCTTTTATTTATGTGGCTGCAAAGAAAAGGGGAAAGCAGTCAACCCACAGCAGTGAACATAGGCATTTATAAATGTAAGATAATGTTACAGTTTAGGCTAGGCAAACCCCACCTTTCATGTACTAAAAGGGCTTATACTTAAGCCCGGAAAGAACTGAAGTCCAATTAGACTATCTTCTGGCCTCAAGAAGGATTACATTTCTGCCTGAAAAGACAGTCATCTACTCCTTTCCTTCAGAACTGCCTATAAAATACGCTGTAACATACCATAAGCATTGCCTTGTATCCTTAGATCTCAAAAGAGAAGAAATTTTTTTTTTTTAATTCACGTAAATGCAGCCATAAGATCTATCAGCCACTCTTTTCAGTAGATTTTCATTAAATCTCTTGGCCCTGTGCAAGTGCCTAAAAAGACTGGGAGAGATGTCGAGAACTCAAAATGATAAGTCTTAACAGTAAATACAAACCCAGCAACTACTAAATTTCTAAAGACTTTCTTTTTAAGACTGCACTCATACCTCCTTATAACATTAGAACTTTAATTTAGAGTTGGTCTAAATCTTGTAGAAACAATGTTAAAATATATTGACACACATGGATTAATTGGTTACCCTTATGTAACAGTACTTATGACATTCTAAATTCTTGGGATTTGAGATAAAGACCTCAAAATATCTTAAAGTCTACTAAGAACTTCCAGAAAGAAAAAGATGAGACTTCATGATTTGTAATGTGTATGTATGTGTAAAATTATATATAGTTTTAAATCTATACTCATCCTATAAATACTAAGACCCAAGAATAATCCAACTTTCACTTTAATTATAGCCAGAGCTGCCAGATAAGCGTTTTTACTACAAAGCTGCACATAGGCGACAGAGCGGTGCTGTGCTGGAGCTGGTTCACAGGGACTTGCAAGAGCCCAGTGTGCACATTTCTTCCTAGCTCCTCGGTGACTTTGCCTTGGGAGCTTGAAATAGGCTGTGGTGAACGCTTTTACATCATGGGAACAAATCCGGGCTTTTCCCCTGGGGAGCTGCTGTTGAACATTCACCCGCACGCCACTCCAGCAGGCTCAGGGAGGTAAGACGACCAGCCAGGACAGCCGGGCGACAGCTTGCCTCCCCTGGGCACTGTGGGGATTGAACGAGCTTATACTACAGGTATAAGGTGACAAGAGTCATGTCTGCATCATGCGCTGTGTTAGACAGGTGGTTACTATTGTTGTTATTGGAATTTACTCTAAAAGGAGTTTTACAGATAACGATGCTCAAAGCATTACTTATAATTACAGCTGCCCAATAATAATGTAACATCAATGCCCACTCCCTCTTCAAAATGATACTCTACAGCCCTTAAACATCTTCTTGAAAAATACCTAAGGATATGAGAAAATGCTCACAAACACATGTGGAAAAAAATAGGCTACTAAACAGTTCACACAGTACACTCCCATCTGTTTTTTTTAAGTGTGTGTATATAAAACAGACTGGAAAAATAAATGCAAAAACTGTTCAAAGTAGTTATTAAGATTACAGTTATATACTGTGTCATAGTTTTGTACAGTAAATGTATATTACTTTTTTAATACAAAAACATTAAAAAGTAAAATGGTTGAGAATAGTTTCTATGTACACACTTACTCGACAAAATACACTTGTCCATTCTCATCGGTTTCTTGTTCCCATCCATATGGCAAATCTGAAACACAGGAAAGACTGACAGGTCTACATAAGGCAGGGATGGGGTGAACTGAAGCAGGGTCCCACAGGTCAGGAAGGGGGTGTCATGCCCTTCCAGCTCCTGCCCCCGGCGCCTATCCCACCAGACCAAGAGCCAAAACACTTTGCCACGCTTAGGTCATGTGTTCCCACTGCGGAAGTTACAAAGGGCCCAATATCCCAGCCAGACTCCACGTTTCTATCTCCTGCTCAGATATACAAGTCTGTTTCATTCCTGATCATCCTTCAACTCTCCACTCAGCTTCAGCTCCTGCTCTTGACAAAAACCCTACCAGTTGCTCCAATCAACATGAATTCTCCCCTGAATGAATTCACAGAACGTATCTTTACAAACACCATTTGTATGTAGACTTGTGATGCCTCTTACACAATATTATAGAGCATTATAATTTTAAAGTTTATATTAAAGTTTTATTATTAAAGTTTTATATTAAAGTTTTTAATATTAAAACAATATTAAAGTTTTTCTTTCCACAGGTACATACTGTCTCTTCAACTAGACCTTCTTACACGTCTACTCTGCAGGTGACTAACTTCTTCAAAAGCACCCATAAGTCATGGTGATCCTGATGGAACCTGATCAAACACTGATAAATTTAATTCCATGACAGGAACCAAGAACAAGTTTACAGTGCAAATCTAATAAACTGTGAGTCAAAGACCTCTTTTACATATTTTTATATTTTTTTATTTAAGACCTGTAAGAGATCATCCTCACCATTCCACCCCAAGACCGCATCACCTCCTTCTGCCAAATCCCATGAGCTCCTCAGAGTGAGAGCCCAGTTCCTTGATGGCTCCCTATCAGAAAGCCTTCCCAGAATGACACAGTGACCTGTCACCTCTCTGCCTGTGATATTTTTCCTATCTAATTAATGTTTTACATATGAGGTGTTTTGCTTTATGACCACAAAATACAAACCTCCTGCTATTCGTTTTCTTTTTCCAGTTTTCGGATGTTCCCATTGAGTCTTCTCCTCAGTGTGACTATTTAAAAAAAAAAAAAGAAATCCACAAAATAACAATGAGTAGAAGTTACACTTCTAAAAATCAGTCCATTAAATTTTTCTCTCCCAAATAATACTCTTTCTTGAGAGTAGTGAAGCCAGACATTCAGAAAACAGTAGAGCATAAACATTAACTGTTCGCATCAAGTCAAATTCCCTAGATTGGAAGGAGAAGCAGTCTGTCAAAAATCTCCTAAAAGCCTGCCTTCACATTCACATTCCGGCCAAGGCGGGCTGGAGTAGAAGGACCACAACCTCAGTTGTGGGTCAACTTTAGGAAGCTAGCTCAGTCGCTCAAAGTATCTAGAGAGCCCTGACTGGCATGGCTCAGTAGGTTGGGCGTTGTCCTGCAGTTCGATCCCGTCAGGGTAGTGCCTGGGTTGCGGGCCAGGTACCCAGTTGGTGGCAAGCAAGAGGCAACCAATCAATGTTTCTCTCACGCGTCAGTCTTTCTCTCCCGCCCTCCCCACTCTCTCCAAATAAATAAATAAAAATCTTTTTTAAAAAATCTAGAGTGGTGCTTTATTTTAGTTTTATTCCAGGATAGACTGACAAACTTCAATCTAATTCATAATGCTGATATTTACATATCACTTAGATATAACTGTAATCTTCTTAAATGTTTATTCTTTCCACAGATAGAATTTCAAAGTGCTTTTTTAAACTACTGATTCCTAATTGGGCCAGAGAGGTAATTAAGAATGCAGGAAGACAGCCCCATAGGTCACCTAGCTGTGTGCCTTTTGTCAAGTTACTCAATCTCAGGACCTCAACTTCCTCATCCGCAAAATGGAAATAATCCTAGTACTGATCTCAGGGGAATGTTATGAGGATATTGTATACAAAGGGTTGAACACAGTACCTGGCATATAAGAAGCCCTCAAAAGTGCTAGCTATTATTTTGAAGAAAATATACAAATTAGTCTGATTTATGTGTCAAACTTAGCATTTCATCTCAGTAATTAAAATCGTAAGCCTATAACAGACTAGAGACACCTGTCAACTGGTGATGAAGTATCAAGAAAAACATAAAATTACTTAATCAGAGAAAAAGCTGGATGTTCCAAGAATCATTCAAAGGGGAGGGGTATTTCCTAAAAGTTCACATATCCATACCAAAGTAGAAAATATTTAATCACTGACATCTAGATGATAAAATTTGAATATTTCTTCCCTATCAATTATTTTGAAGAAGATAAATAGAGAGAGCATAAACTTGCTGTGAAAGTTTATGAGTCGAAAGTGTGGTCTTTTTTCAGGAACTCCTGGCTTCCGGTCTGTTTGTAAACTCTCTGTGGCCAGTGCAGGGACGGCATGGACACTGGACACAGAAGGCAGAAGACTGAGCTCCTGTGCTGCCTGCACTCAGGCAGCCCGTCCACCTGGCCACACACCATACCCAGGAGACACCACACCAGCAACAGTGATTGCTGACTGATTAAACTATCTTCCCGGCAACAAGCATCAGGAGCAAGGACCAGCTCCTACTCGTCCATGACCACCATCAAATCCCACTTGCGAGAAAGGAAGCCTTGACTCCCTAATGAAGACAACCCGCCCCTCATTGACACGGCTCCTGCTTCTTGCAGACTAAGTGACCAGCAACCAAATACACCAAACACTGGCAACAATATAAAACCTTCCTGCTTCTGGCGTTGCCATCTTCAGGTAAATTTACAGACGTGCTCACATTTTCCTTTGCCTGACGCTAATGGTGGTTGTCATCCCACAGGCATACATCCGATGAGCCTGGAACCCAGCCCCAAAACGCCTGCCCTCAAGAATCCACCAAGTGACCGCCACAAGTGGAACGCTGACACCCTATAGCATGTGTGCTAGTGAGCGAAGGCCATCCCAGGCCCATGCCCATGAACCCTCAGACCCCAGCCCTGAGCCTGGCCGGCAGCAGGGCTCAAATGCAAGCATGTGGAGTGAATAAATGTCTTCCCAAAAAGCTGAAACACTTGCTCAGGACGTTTCCTATCCTGAAAAATATTTTTAAAAATAAAAATTAAAAATTAAAAAACATTGCCATGCCATGTCCTTCACTTTGATAGAAAATGCCTAAGCCAGGGTTTCTGATGCTCACTCTCCAGCCACACGGGTCTCTGCTGGGGGGGCCGTCCTGTGCATCGTGGGATGATTAGCAGCTTCCCTGGTCTCCACCCACTAGATGCCAATATGCCACTCCCTGCAGCCATGGGAATAGTGACCCGGTGGGAGGACCCTGGGCCTGAGGCGAAGCAAATGTAATTCGGGTGCGAGGATTCAGAAGCATAATGCCCACATTTCCTGGGTCTCCCACTCACCAGCCGCGTGCACTTGGAGGTTGTTTACCCTCCCTGGGCCTCAGTTTCCCCATCAGTAAGAGTGAGGATAATAACAGCACCCACCTCTTGGGATTAAAGAGAACTGAATGAGTTACTGTGTGAAGAACTAAGAACCATGCCTTTCACAGAGAAGTATTATTTTAAATTAACACATATATAAAAATTAATTAAAAGGTGTTTTTAACTGTAACCTAAAATGACTTTTTAATGAACAGAAAATTATGACACATGTCCCCGAAGTGTTATCTTATTCTTCCTTAAATAGAAGCCCTCTTTTTTTCTTTCAATAAGCTTTTTGTCATTTAAAAAAGATAATTAACATTGATCTTAATTTAAGCCAAAGGGATCAAAATTAAATTCACACCATATTATATGCATTTCAAGTACGCTTTTCTAAGTTTTTTTTTTTTTTTCTTTTTTCATCATAGTTTCTTTCAACTGAGAGACCCAGAGCTGCCTGTGAGGAGAGCCCGCCCCAGGACAAGGGGTCCAGCTCCCCACAGGGTGAGGCCAGTCGGCCCTCTGGCTGCCAAGAGGGCTTCAGAAGAAAGGGGGGCTGGGGGGCCCGTCCAGGGAGGCCCAGGTGACCACAGCAACAGCTCCCAGCACCAAGATCTCATTCTTCTGTCCCCATCTACTGGTTTAGGCAGAGGGAGGGGAGAAAGGCCTGCCCACAACAGCCGAAAAATACCCTCTCCTTGGGAGTCAGGGCCACATGATGTACATGCCTTGAGGTCCATGAATGCACCGCGGGGCATGTGGAGAGCACAACAGAGCTCACACGACTGAAGAGGGCAAGGCTGTAAGGGGACAGGTTCCACTAGGGCCACAGCCTCTGCCCTTGGGCATGGCCCTGCTGTGATGGGAGGAAGACAGTGTGAAAACAGGAACTACTCAAAGGGCAGTCTTCTGAAACCCCAAGAGAAAGACAAGTGACCCGTCCAGAGCTGGGAGGGAAAAGAAGAGCCAGGATGTTTGTAGGTCAAGGGGACTAATGGGAGCCCAGGGCAAGGACTGGTCAGAGGCATCCCTTGGCCCTCGAGCCGAAGAGCAGAGGGCTGGAAAGGGGTTCTGGAGAGAGGCCCCCCTCAGCGGGAGCCAGCCAAGCCCTGTCGCCAGTGTCAACATCGGGGCCAGACAGGCAAGTGTGAGATCTAAAACAATGGTGGAGGCAAGCGGAGGTGGCTTTTCAGAGAACATGTATGTGTCACTGAGTCCCCTGGCCACGGGCTCCCTGGAGGCTCTCAGAGGAAGTGGCTGGCGTATGCAGATGGTACTTCAAGAAAGAAAAGCCCAAGCCCAGCCTCTGGGGGCCATGTAGGAAGAAAGCAGGTGGGATGCGCCACCCAGCACAGCAAAAGGCGCAGGGGGAGGCACATGGAGGCTCCGGGCAAACCCAAAGTGGGGCCAGGAGGCCTCTGAGTTAAGCGGCCAGAACAAGGACAGGCCCCAGACAGAGCAGCAGAAAGAGGGCCCTGAAAGCAGGAAGGGGGCTGCGTGCATGTTTTCATCCCCAGTACACCACCTCCCCGTGGAGGCCCGTGGTGAACCTTCGCTAGATGAATTAATTCACTCCTTCCATTGATTTATTTTACAGTGCTAAGCACTGTGGACGCAGACGTGAATAAGGAAAAGCCCTGCCCTCATGAAATTTATAATCTCGGCAGGGAGACAGGGCAATCAAGGACAAGTAAGAATAAGGTAAGATAACCACAGACAATGCTAAGTGCCAGCAGGCAGAGAACAAGGTGCTGGGAAGGGGCGAGGGGGGTTGGGATAAAGAAAGGGAGCGGTCTCATGGGCAGTGCATTTAAGCCCAGCTCTGAGGGGTGAAAGGGCCCTCCAGGCAAAAGCAGACAGAAGAGCAAGTGCCCGCTCAGGAGCTGCCTGGAGCCTGGCAACAGCCTAATGACTCCTTGCTGTTAGAATTGACCCCTCAGCACTCCAGAGCAGAAGTCATCTTTCTAAAAACACAAACCTGACGTTACTCCCTGGGTCCTGCCGGCAGAGTCCCAGCTCCTCCATGAGGCACTAAAGGGCCTCCATAAGCTAGGTCTTCCGTCCTCTGCCTGGATCTCCTTGCTCCTGCATCACCACACAGGCCCTGCGGGGGGCTCTCTTTTGTTTCCTCTACCTGGGCTGCCCTTTGGCTCCCTCCTGTCCACTTCAACTTGTGCTCTAAGGCACAGCTCAGGCGCCAACTCTAAGAAGTCACCTCACCTGAGGTGCCCACCTACCCACACATGCCTCTTGCTAGACAGACTGCTGCTCACTCCACGCACTGCACCAGAACTGCCTTGCTGTGTGACTCTGCTCTGTGAGACTGGGCACTCATTAAGGGCGACAACTGGATCTTATTTATCTCAGTATAACCAGAGCCCAGCACATGATAAAGATCTCAATGTCTCGAAGGAATGAACTCAGCAAGGTCTTATTTTGCTGTTGCTCTTTCTACCAAGCCACCAGAGACAGCAGCGGCTCACAATCTTGGGTAGATTGGAATCACCTTGGAAGATTCTGCAACACACCAATGGGGAGGAGGGGCAAGGCAGTTAAGTAAGAATCTCTAGAGGTGGAACCAAGGAAAATATATTTTTTAAGCTTATCAGATGTTGAAAAATCACTGCTTTCCATCCATGTTTTTCAAAACCAAGTCATAACCTGAATCAACTGGAAAGCTTAAAAAATACAGGTTTCCCACATTAGGGGTCTGCGATGTGAGGGTCTTTGTGAAAACCTGAAACCCATACTTAGGACAGTCCCCAGGTGATTCTGATAACAGGCCTAAGGAGGTGCAGAGATAGCAGGAAACACTAACCGTTATTAAGCCTAGAATATTTATTCAACCTGAGCTAAGTGCTTTATGTATACTGACTGAACTAAAACCCTCATATAAACCCATTTTACAGAAGAGAAAACTGTGACTGAGAGTCCTTTCAATGGCGCTACGTCATACAGTAAGTGTAGAAAGAAGGGGTTCTGCTCGTGTTTCTAAAACTTTCCCAGGGAAACTATAATGAATTAGCTAAAGGATATGTACACACACATATGCATACACATATACATAGCTATATTAGGACATCCGATAAAAGTACATACTCCTAGATCCCCAACCCAGACTCCTTAGGAGGGGGCTGGATATCCTTTTTTTTTTTCCTGGTTTTGTTTTTTTTTGGTGGGGAGGAAAGGGTAAGTCCGGTTTGCCATCATTGCACTGTGCAGCGCTGCCTTCTGAGCAGCAGAGGGCGCGCCTGGCCGCTGCCAGGTGACCAAGGCTCGACCCAGGCCCCAAAGAGGAGCTCGGTCCCTCCTCGGGACCCTGGAGACTCTTTTAACATCACTGCCACTTCGCCCGCCCTCGCCAAGCTGGAACGCGGGCCCGCGCCCCACCCCGCGCAGGTGGCGTTCGAAGGCAGCGCAGCGTCCCGGGCACGTGAGGCCGTCAGGTTCCAGGTGCGTCCCTCTCCAGGTGTGTGTCCCAGGCCCGGCGGCCCCCCTGCGGCCCTCTTACTTGGCATAGTAAACCCAGCCGTCCTTGGTGGTTCTCTGCTCCCAGCCCAGGGGTAGCTCGTCCTCGCTGTCCGTGTCGTCCAGGCCCGCATAGCGCAGGGCTGCCATGGCGGCAGAGGTGCAGGGTCACTTGCTCAGTCAACCGCCCGCTGCCGGGTCTCACGCCCAGGCACTCTCTCCCGCTTCCACCCGGCGCCCCGCGCGTCTCGACCCAAACGCCCGCGCCTGCGTACTACGTATCCTAGAGCCGCTCAATCGATTCGGTAGCTGGAATCCAGCTTCCGTAATTTACTTTACTGTCATCGTAAAAGGGGCGGGACCTGAGAAGAACGGTAGTGAAAGAGCCAAAGAAGTTGCACTGCTCCTCGGCTGGAAGTAAAATCTGGTGACATTTTCTTACTGTAGAGATGGCAATGAGCTTCGTTAACCTCCCGGCTGCGGGGAAGGGGCGTGGACATCCAGACAGCCCAGGACTGCCCCCGTTGCTAGGCGACCCGTAACACGTCCGTATTATTCTCACCAATCCTGAAGGAACTTTTGCCAATGGGCATCCTGGGAAATGCAGTCCAGGCCCAGCCAGACTAGACTGGAGCAGAAAGTGTGGATTCTGATATTCTGGGCTCTAACCTGTCCTTTTTTTAGGATACTATGAAGAGTGAATGTTCCTGCTCAGAAAGCTTCCAGAGCCTTCCATCACCCAGGCTGATTCACAAACTTTTTTGTGCATGAAACATAATGTTAGAAAACTTGGAGACAGTTAAAAAGGCAAATTCACTCACCTGATTAGCCAGGCTTGGCAGAAGTCACTTACAGCCACATCATGATTCTGCTGATAATAAAGGGCTACAGTTTAAATATTTATTTACCTGCTTACGGCTGACTAAACTGACAGAACACATCTTATGCTTCTTTCTATCACTAGCACTTAGTAAAATGCCTAGACCAACAAATTAATTAAATGGAGTGAATAAATAAATGAGTAAATGAATGGGATTCATTAGGTTTGGCCCTCTACAAATCAACCTAGTTTGAAACAAAATTCCAAATTTACAGAGTGGATTCTCTGAAGTCCTCTTAGAGCACCTACAACCACCCTAAAATGTCCTTGGTCAAAAACCAGAAGGATTTCTTCAACTTTTCTTCCTTGAAACTTGCTCCACAGCCCAGCATTACAGGGAAATCTACTGATTGATTTGTGTGGCCTAGGTCTCAAAAGAATGCAAGCCTCCTTCAGAAGAACTATGTATTTTAAAGGGAGAGTGAGAGACAGCGTTGCTTTTTGTTTTCTCCAAGTCCTGAAACTGATATTGTTTGCAGCTGCATGCTCTTTAGGGGAGAGACCGACTTCACTTTGAAAAACCAAAAGCTAACTTTGTGAAAGCATGTTTTCATTTTAATAGGCCAGCCATCCCATCTCAGACCTGTCAAGAAACATCACTCTTTCCAAATCCATGTGCATTTTTAAATAAGCTACCATTAATTTGCTGCTCTTCTGTTCACCTCAATTTAACCCCTGGCCCCTGACATCCAAGTCTATTTATTCCTTTGGTAGATACGAATAGGAAATTACGTCACAAAAGTCCTCTGATGGTAAGGGGGTTGGTGAATGGAGTAAAAATGATCAGGCCTCAGTCTAATTATCTCTGCCTTTGCTCAGTTTTTCAAGGACTGACTGCTTAGATTTTTATCTTGGGCTGCCCTCACCAGAGCCTCTACTGGCACTTGTTGCCTGTGACATGGCACAAAGGTAGTGTTATAGTATGGAATCTTCCCCAAACTGCAGAGTGGTCCCCTTAGTAGAATTCTTAACTTTTGGGCCAACCCTCTGCTCTTCCCACAGCTTTAACAATACTCTCTCTCTGTTTCCACTGCCATGGATACCAGGTTTTTCAACCTCAGCCCTCGTGACTTTTGGAGCCATGTAATTCTTCGTTCTAGGGGACTTTCCTGTACACCGTAGGACTTTTAGCAGTACCACTGCCTCTACACACTCGCTGCCAGTATGTCTCCCTTCCCACAGCTGTAACAACCAAAAATGTCTCCTGACTGACAATTGTTCCCCTAGTTAAGAACCACTGTCTACACATACACTAAGTAAGAAAATTACTAACTTGTGAATCAAACACTGAGATTTATTTAAGGCATGGAAGAGCCCATTTTTGGCCAGAGATTCACAGGTGGTACTCAGACGCTGCTGCTTCTGATTGCCGAGTTCTCTAGCATTGTCTGAGAGCACCTGCCTCTCCAAGTCCTAGTCCATCCACAGGTGAGAGGCATGAACTGACAGAAGTTTGACTGGGTGACCCAGACACCAGTATTGGTCCCAAATATCTGTAATGACCTCATCTGATTCCCGTCTTCCTACACTTTGTGGCCTCTGTCAGAAGGTTAAAGAAACAAGACATGCAGGTGTTTAGGGACTCATGAGAGAAGAAATGCCAGATTTTAGGCTTTATGCCTTTCGGGTTCACACAAACAGATACTGTTTTAGTCCGGCTTGTTTGACCGCAAGCAGCAGAGACACATTCAAAAGTTTTCAGGGCACACGTGGACTAATTACAACGTTATCAGGGGCTCAGGGAGCCCAAGGCCAGGCTGTTTCTTTTTCCCCTCATGGGCTTCATGGTCTCTTGCTCTCCTTCTCCCTGTTCATGGGCTACATTTTTCTGCTCTCTTTTTACTGGCTTCTTCTCTTTACTCATAATTGCTGCGCCCCTTGGACTTTAACCTGCACGTGGCTTTGATTTTGCTCTTACGAGGATCTACCATAGGGCAAGCCCTGTTTAGCTTGGAAGAAGATGATTATGGGTTTGAGGAGCCTTAAGCTTGGGGATGAGCCAAGGTCTTTAACATGTACCTCTAAAGAAGGCTAAAGAATGGTTCGTTTTTTGTAAAGCCAACTGAATCACATTGATTACTGGTGAGGAGGATAAAGAAAAGAATTCACTGTGGTTATACAACTGCACACTAGATGGCCCTCTCTGCCCATGCTTTTAAAAGACTAAAGCCTTAGACTATATGGCAGGGGCTGGGTGGAGGTGGGAAAAGTGGGAAGAAAGTGGGGACAACTGTAATAGTGTAAACAATAAAAATATAAAGGGAAAAAAACTGAAGCCTAATCCTTGACAAGGATTTCTACATTTAAAATGCATTTTCTTTTTGATTGATTGCTTCTGCAATAGCTGATGATTGATAAATATAAGATGGATCAGTTTTTGCTGAAAGCAATTTGGCCTTATTCATGGAGTGGGCCCAAGTTTTAGTGTAACATTTCTGGAGCCAAGCTTCTTTAGTTCATTATCACCACAGTGATGGTCATTTCGCTCCCCATCATACACACAAGCACCCCAACAATTGTGCAAAACCTACTTTAACTTAAGTCACCATTCCTTGGGAAAGTAAGCTTGGTACTTTGGTACCAAACTCAATATGCTAAGGAAACCTGGGATGCTTCCTGACTCTTCTAATAAACTTCTGATGGGAGGTAACAATAAGGAAGAATATTGAGCAGGATTCTTAGGGAAAGCTCTCTCCTGGTCAATATGACCTGACATAGGAAGCTGTGTTTATATTTCATTTAGTCACTGAAACACACAATAAGTGAAAGAAAATTATGCTATGTCTGTGAGAAAAAACAAGAAAAACAAAACATCCCCTCTATCTAGAAATGAGTCAATTAAGACCAACAAACAAGGACGTATGGACTGAGGCTTCTAAGAGAAGTTTGAACGAAGACATACTGGTATGAAGAGACAGGGAGAGTTTCCGTGGGAGGGTTTCCTGTAATTTATCGTTGGAACCAAACTCAGCTAATGTGTGTGACAATGGCCAAGTCACTTAACTTGACATTTCATTATTATCAACCCAATTTTCACAGATGGCAAAACTGGGGCACAAGGAATTGAAGTAATTTGCCCAAGGTCACTTGACAAGGAAAAGCCAGAGGAACTGAGATTAGAATCCAAACAAGGGTACTGGCACCAAACTCACCCTTTCAACCAAATGCCCTGTGTGCTGCCTTTCCAGAAAAGGGGTCCTCATGCTGGTCCTCAAGTGGATGTGCAGGAGTTTCTCACTCCTACATGGGAAAGGGAGAAAACTAAGGTCAAAGGAGTGAATTTTTCATAAAGCTGAATATATTCCACCTAAAAAGTACTATCTTTTATTTTCCATGCAATTATGCCTGTTCTACTTTTATTTTCTGATGATCCATTTTTTCCTTTTTTCCAACATTTTATTATGAAAGGTGTATTTCAATCATCCAGAAAAATTGAGACCAGAACAATGAATACTCACATCACGCCTCTCCATACACACACGTAGATGTGATCATTGTTAACCTTCTGCCATATTTGCTTTAAAGGGAGAGAAGCGGATTCCCTGAAGCATTGGGAGAGAGTGATTTTTGTCTTATTTCCCCAAGACCGGATAGCAATGCTCACTTTCTTGTGCGCCACAAGGAGGCACTCACCTGGTGAACTCATCACATCCATTGCAGTGACTTCTGGAAATCCGACACTTAGGTTTTGAAATTTTGTTTAATTCACATTGAAAAGCCTCAAGCTTCAGTGTAGCTTTACTGTATAATTGCTAACTTGCCAACATTCACAAAATTCTTTTTTCAGCCTAACTTCATTCCAGGCTTCTTTCTGCCCTACAGGGAGAATAATGCCCTTCCAGGGGAGATTTGTGTCTCCCCGGTCACTTGAAAATTGCGGTGAGGAGTCCGGTCTTCTACCACTCATTTAGAGTGTCTTGTGGCAGCCAAAGCTTCCAAGATGTCACTCTGATCCACAGCTGTTGCTGTCTCTGTCTCCCAGATGAATTCTTCCAAAGACTCCAGGCCCTGGACCCCAAGGTTCACCCCAGATCCTGTCACACATACACATGTAAGTGTTCCAGAAGGGGGTGGGGGGACCTAAAGAAAAGAAAGGAAAAGAGAAGTGATGGCTAAAATGCATTCAGCAAAGTGACAGGCACAAAGCTAGCTATTATCAATTACCATTGACATTCAATATTATTTCATATTAGTTTCAAGTGTACAGCAGAGTGGTTAGACAGTTATATAATTTACAAATTGATTCCCCAATATTTCAAACAGCCATCTGTCCCCATATGTAATTATTACAATATTATTGACTATATTTCCTATGCTGTACTATATATACATCCTTGTGACTATTTTGTAACTACCAATTTGTGCTTCTTAATCCCTTCACCTTTCTCACCCCAAACCC